AGGGGTTATCCAAAAGCTCTGAGGCTTATTCTATACAAGGAGCCATATGTCTTCAAGGTCTATCTTAGGGATTCCTATAACTTCTCCAGGGCTATCCCATACAGATACGCATAAGTTCTCTACGGCTATTCTGGTGGAATGCCTCTCACTCTTCAAGCGCTGTTCTAGTGAGTACTCCTTATTCTTCAAGGGCTATTCTAAGGGGTGCTCATAACTTTTAAAGCAACACCAAAAGGGAGCACCTTCAACTCTTCATGGGATATTTCTAGACGGATATTTGTAACTCTTCAAGGACTACCCTGGGGGAAACCTCCTAATTCTTCAAGCGCTGTCCTAGAGGGGTATTCATAACTTTTCAAACATTCCCATAGCTCTTGAGGACTTACCGGTACTCCTATGTGATAGCCATTGAGGACTTTGGATACTTCCTAGGGCAGCCGTTCAGGATTCAGGGGCACCCCTATGAAATAGCCTCTCTGGATTTTAGGGGTGGGAAGTTACCGTCGCCGAACCGTTATCACCTTATTAGGTAATAGTAACGGTGGTAACTTTTTCGTTACTCGTTACTCGATAACAGTAACGGTTCAGTAACTGTCCTCTCAACTACTGGCAGGTATCCTTGGGTCCTCGAGTCCTACTATAGTGTGGTACCCTTGGGTCTTCAAGTCATACTATACTAATAGTTGTCTGAGTGATCAAGAAGAAAGGTCCTCCTGCAATCGGATTGGTTCATTTTTTCAATAAATCAGATTTCAGGAGGACTTTTCTCTCTTATTACCCAGATAGTTACTAGTCATGTTGGGGCCGATCTTAGGGTTATCAGGGACACTCTATCGAATGAGGGATATATATGTGGGTTCCAGCTCTATATATCATCATGAAACAGAATCTCGCAACCTGATTGGTTCATTTTTCGACCAATCAGATTTCAGAATGCCTTTTCTTTCTTACTATCTGGACAGCTACAAGTGTAGCAGGGCATCAGAACCCAAGGATACCCCAATATAGAAGGACTTGAGGAGCAAATGATACCGCCAATGAAAGAACTTGAGGACTTAAGGGTACCTCGTATAGTAGGACTTGAGGACCCAAAGGTACCACCCAGCAGTTGAGAGAAGAGTTACCGAACCGCTACCGTTACCAGTCACTGAGTAACTGGTATCGGATCCGTTACTCGGTAACTGGTAGTGACTCAGTTACTAGTTACTTGGTAATATGACGGTAACTTCTCTTCCCTAGTGGATTTCTGACTACCCCTAGGATAGCTCTTGAGGACTTCTGGATCCCTCCGAAAGCAGCCCTTGAGGATTTATAAGTACTCTTATTGGATAGCTCTTGAGGGCTTGTATGTTCCCCCTTAGGATAGATCTTGAGGATATGTAGCTTCCCTATAAGGTAGCGTTTGAAAAGTTATGGATATCTACCCTAGATATCTCTTTAAAGTTTAAAGCATCACCCCAAGGTACCCCTATCCTGCTCTCATGAGCTGAAATTGAGATCAACTCCAACTCTCATGAGCTGGAGCTGTCACACACCTAATCTTAGGTGTATTTAAATATAACTGGGACCTTGCTTTGTATACCTAGGTCTTATGCATGCACAATTTCAGTTATTATTAGAAGTGAAGTATAAACATAGAGTACGATTTGAGTAAAAGAAAATTTTCTGTTGCTCAAAGAGTGTGCAACGGTTAACAGAATAGAAGTAATACACTAAGATAAACCAAGGTAATGTTTCTTAGTTTGTATCAAATTGTTCTTTCATCATACGTGTCATTTCTCTCTGAAAAAAATTTCTTTGCAGAGCACGTCAAGAGTTTCGGATAGTTCTCATTACTTCTTAAGTAACATGCGCTAGCAGAAAGATCATTACTAGTCCCACAGACTGACCAATCATCGAATATAAATTAGCTGAATTTTAAATGTATCAGGTTGTTAATAAGAATCATTTATTAGAATATAGAGATTGAAAACAGTTACTCCTCGCATTTTAAGTCAGTGATGGCCAACACCGAGGTCTGAAAAGCATCAACTTGGTATCTCCATCTCTTGATTTCTCGGTTTAGTTCTAACGACTGAGTTGTAAGCATGTGTGCAAGCGTAAGAAATAGAACACATTATATTTTTGTGCATGTCCACGTGGAAACAACGAAAACAAAAAGACTTGAAATCCTACATGTTAACGTCAGTCAGATGACGAATATTACGGTTCGTGAGAGAACAGGGAAAACAAGTTGGTAGATCAAGCCGTAAGACGACAGTATATGGTTGGCTTGTGGATGGGAAAGTAATTAAAAGAAAGTCAAAAAGCAACTTTAGTCTCTATACAACAAGATGACATGTTGCAGTATCGTTCTTAGTATACTTCTAGTGAAACTCTTGAAGTTGTTCGAGTCAAGATCTCGCTTTCTTCTGTCAAGATCAGAATAATATTCTGCTAGAAGTTCGCATAGGATCCTATCCAAAGCTTAATAGAAACTTACGACCAAATATTTTTAAATTAAATTAAGATTATCGCAGAATGCTGTCAAGATCTTATCTCAAGATCGGACAGAATCCTGAATCATTCTATCTTAACAAGCTACTATGGGATCTTGTACAAACTTCTTTGAGACGAAGGATACATTGAGTCTTGACAAGATCTTGCTCAGGATGTAAAATATTTCTTTTTGAATTCGTAGTCTTAAAAAATTTAAAGAAAACATCTAGAATCCTAATTAAATCTTACTTACTTCTTGTATGGTTTCTTTCACTGAATGGTATAAATTTAAGAAGTTTGTAAGATCTTGAGTGAATCTGGATAAGATCCTAGAAATTCAAGATCTTGTAAGGTCCTGACGGACAAAAATCTACCAATGTTTAAAAATGAGATTAGGGTGCTCTGTCGCCAATATTCAGAAATGCTTATAAAATTCAAAAGAATTGAATAGAATGTTTCATAATCAAATATGCGAATTTTTGAGGTTGAGAAACTGACATGATAGTATGCTTAAGATGACAAAAAGCGATTGAATAATTTTTCCACATGAGAAAAAATAGTTTGTTCCGTTGTAGTCTCCAAAATCCCACATAGATGACGATTGTAAATACATATGATCACCATGCATTACATGCATGTCGGGTTGTTCAGTGGTAAATACGAATTTAACTTAATTATTTCAGGTTATTCAGACTAGCACTTGATACCGGACCCCGAAAACGAAACGAACCGAACTATAATGGTTCGAGTTGATCCGAACCGAATCCAAATCGGTTTTATTGGAATGTACTCGAACTGAACCCGAACTACTAAAACTCGGTTCGATTTGGTCTCTGTCTGATCCCGTCATATTTTAAATGTTTTTTCTCTGCATTCCTGCATGGAGATACACTCTAAAAAAATAGGTATTCTTGGAAACTGAGGAAAAAAGGTTTTCCAGGGTTCGAAAAACCATTTTTTACTCTCGGAAACCCTAAAAGGTATCCAATAGTAACAATCTCGGAAACCGGAAAAGGTTTCAGAAGTTCGAAAACTCTTGAAAGGATTTCCGAGAATACCAACTTTTTTTAGAGTATAGCCAATAGGTTAATAATATTATCAAAAAGTCATTAGAATCGAATGTCTTTCTTTGTAAGTCGAGACGTAATTTCCTAGAAGAACTGGACTACAAAAAGTTAGACCAGCTTTTATAAAACGACAGAGAAGATGATCTAAAAAATCGTCATCGTGTCACTTCTCTTCTATCTCGACGAACTATATTTGGGAGACTGAATAAAGTTCATATTTCATTTTCTCAGGTTCCCGCATCAAAGAATATTACCATGGTAATTCAAATACCGTTCGGTTTCGTTACCCTTTTGTTAATAGCTGAAGCAGCTGAAGTTCATCAAACATTGATTATCGATACGATCCATCCATATCCAACATCGGTCAAACCAATTATTTCGGCTAATTATTCGTTCCCTGGCCCACTGATTGAAGCCTATGAAAACGATACGCTTATAATCAGAGTGATCAATCGACTGCTTGTCCCTTCGGTAATACATTGGCATGGAATGCATCAGATCGGCACTCCAGGTATGGACGGTGCTGTCGGCATTACACAGTGTGCAATACCGCCGCAGAGTAAAATGATATACAAGTTCAAGGCAGAACCAGCAGGAACGACCTGGTATCACGGTCATGTTCTTGAGCAGTACACTGATGGATTATATGGCCCATTAATTATTCGTCGACAGAATGAGCTTAATGGACGTCATTATGATAGTGAACGTATACTCATGGTGTCGGATTGGTATAATAACTGTGCTCATACTCATTTACTTCCCTGGTATTTGAGTTCACAGAATTCGAATGGGTACGAGCCTTCACCGGATGCTATTGTTGTCAACGGTAAGTTTACTCAATCGTTGTTTATTCCACTCTCAGGTTCATCGCGTGTTCGATTTCGAATTATCAACACTGCAGCCTTCTCAATGTATACCGTGTCAATCGATGGTCTTCCATTGCATATAATTGAACTGGATCAAACCGACACATCATCCTACACAGTTAATTCATTCAATATTAGCGTTGCTCAGCGTGTTTCATTTTATATTAACTTGAACGAAATAGATTTGCATTACACTGCCTCGGGTGGATCATCGACAAGTTCACTCTTTATTCGATTTCAAGCCGTATTATCAATGTATCCTGTTGACATTGTCAATTACATTCCTCCCTATGAACTTCCACGTTATCCGTATCCCACTTTCTTCAATCCATTGTACCTTGCTATTTTGTCGTTTGATTCGACCAATGCTCCACCGACATATCCAGCCAGTCAGCCAACTCCGACACTGCAGAACGCTGTTACCCCACTAGACACAAATCTCTTAGCTGTCCGACCGTTCCATCATAATGATGATGGAATTCCTAATGCAACCCAGTATTTGAACGTTCTCATTGCATTTGCCTCCGATAAAGATGGAATCAAGCGAGGCTATCTGAATAATGTCACATATAGTTCAGATGCCAACTATATGCATGTTAGACCTAATCCAACACAAGGAATTACTTCAGACGAATACGCGCCATTACTTCACCAAATGGCAACAAAACCTGATAACCTAGATATTTCACCACCTCGCATAGAAGCTGGAAGTCCACTACCAACACTTCAAAGTGATGGACAGGGTCACTATTTAGTTCCATATCAAGCCGTCGTCGATCTCTATTTAAACAACACGGATGTTGACGAGCATCCATTCCATTTACATGGTTATAGCTTCTGGATTATTGCAACGTCGAACTATCCGCAAGCCGAATATTTGTACTACGATAACTATGTTCTACGTGACGTTGTGAGTGTGCCAGGTTCTGGCTGGGCTAAAGTCCGATTTGTCGCTAATAATCCTGGTGCTTGGCTGTTTCACTGTCACATCGACTGGCATATGAGTGCTGGAATGGCATTGGCTTTTATCGTTTCCCCTCAACAACTACTGACTGAAGGATACACAGTTCCTAAGAATCAGAAAAAATTATGTCAAGCACTACAAGAATTCAATGCAGAGAATGCGACAAATAACTGACCTTAAGGGCAACTGCTTCCTCATACTATCATTTTTTTCACCTGCCTGTGAATCGATTCAGGACAAATCTTTTGAAAAGTTAATCATCATCATATGTATCATTCATTTCAAGTATATCCCAATTAAGATTTTCAAAATTCTAAATAAAATTTTTTGCGCACTAAAAACAAGATTTTTATATTTCTCCAAAGGTCTTTGCTCCTTTATAGGTGCAAATATCGTATTGGTGTCTTTTGTTAGAGGGGAGCAATCTCTTTAATTTTGTATGATGACGCAGATCTTACGTAAAAAAAGCAGAAAAGTATGAAAAAACTTTTCAGGGTGTGGTTGGGTGTGGGTATCGTTAAAAATACTGTTAAAGCCCGTAACCATACCCACACCCCCACACTCACATCCACATCCACACTTACATCCATGCCCACATCCACACCCACACCAAAAACATGTCAAATTCGTAATCAGCATGGAAAACTGCCCATAAGAATGCATTTAGATCCGTCCATCTCAAAAAGAAAAAGTTTTCAAAGGCCTGATCAATGAAGTATCGCGTCATGTGAACAAGCCGTATGTTACCTTCAATGGAATCAAAACCGCACGGTTGACGATCTTTAGATTTTATAAGAACAAAGCTATTATTTCTTCCGTCTGTATTACCGAAAATTCACAATAAATAAAAAGAAAAAAGTTCATTTCAGATTAACTATTAAATTTTACACAAGTGAAGTTAACACCATATTCGAGTAAAGGGTGCCCATATTCGTCCAGGAATCTGTTCCAAATACAACACAACGAGCTCTATCCAATGATACGCTCAGATTTTACACAGCTCAAAGTATGATGTTCTATGGTGTCATCTATCAGCCGAAGAACCATACTTTGAGCTATGTGAAATTTGAGCATAGCATTAGATAGAGCTCGTCGAACTGTCCTTGGAACAAGCATTGAACACTTGGAACACCCCAGGTCGAAATAAGGGTGTGGGTGCGGATGTGGGTGTGGGGTGTGTGTGGGTGGGTGTGGGTGGGTGTGGGTGAGGTATGGGTAGGTGTGGGGTGTGGGTGTGGGTGTGTGGGATGGGAGTGGGTGGGTGTGGATGTGGGTATGGGATGTGGGTGTGTGGGATGAGAGTGGATAGGTGTGGGGTGTGGTTGTGGCTGTGGCTCTGGGCGTGTGGGTGCTGGTGTGGATGTGGCTATGGGTATGTATGGGTGTGGCTATGAGTGGACTGTGGGTGTGTGGATGTGAATGTGGGTGAGAACAAGACCCACACTCACACTCACATCCACACCCTTACACCCACATGCACTATCTAGTATCTGTAGACAAAAATTCATTGAAATCAGATGGGGACACCTAGGAAGTTCCCTTGTTAGTCAATTCACGTGTTGGATAATCTACGTTACTCAACACTACTAGTTTGCTTTTTAGAGTTTTGGTGTTACTTGGCACGACTGATTGGCCAAACTTTTAAATGGTAAAAGCATATTATACAAAAAAATTTTTACTCTACGCTATGCATATAATAAATAGTCTTGATTGACCTTATAATGGAGAAATGGGTGAGCGAATTTTGAAACCTAAATTTCGAATAACAACTAAACTTTTAGGAAAATCCTGGGAGTACTACAAAAAAAGCTTTCAGTGCAAGTGAGGGTAAGTAGATGATAATAAAATGATAATCAAACTAATTACTTAGTAACAAATACTGATGAGAAAGAAAAGAAAGCGCACTTTACGATGTCTCTATATTGAAGACTTATTCTACGGTAGCCGTTTTTTGAATAACTTATAGAATAATTATCTACGAAGATATTGTTTTACTTATTATTAACAGTCGATTGTTTGCACGTTAATGATGGACTTTTTTCCATCTCCAAAAAAATTAACATAAGTAGACAGAAGCAATTTCTTTTTGAGAAGCAACTCACTGTTCTGTTCACACAGAAAAAAAAATGAAAATAGCCATCAAGCGTATTAAATAATACGTTGAAAGCGCATATTTTTTTCCTCACATTCATATGATGATTGCTACATGTTTCTAACGACTTTTCCATATGAACAACGACATAGCAACAAAGACAATAGTTAAAACTCTGAAGTTTCAGAAATATAGTTTTCATCAGTTTATACTATTATTATTCAAGAATAGACTTCTGATTGGTAGTTTTTGAAACTCTAATTATCAATTAATAATTTTCCTATTCTAAACAATATTTTAGTGTTTGGGTAATCCTCAGGACAAAACTTAAATAAAAGAAAGATGAGAAAACTTTGTTTATAATATGTAAA